TGTACAGGCCAACGATGGGTATCCGTAAACATGTCTCAGGCGTCTGAGTCTACGACGTGAGCAAGACGACGGCTATCGAAATCCGCAAATCCCTCTATGTTGCATTCGTGTGACCCTCACCATAATAGGGCATAAAAAAAGAATATTTATTATGTAGGATCCCAGTCTCGAGTACGTTTTCAACGGATGATCCTCAACCTTGGTGACACCTTTACCACAACGCCTTCCACCCTCCTACTACCACTCCTACGGCTTTCTCGCCTACGTCAATGTTCTTCACACGCCATGGACGCTTCTCCTCCCCCTCCTCCTTCTCCCCCCCCCCCTCCCACTCCCCCTCCTCCTCCTCCCCCTCCTCCTCCTCCCCCTGCCCTGTCGAAGGGATCAGGCTCAGAGACCAGAACAGGAGTGGGAGTCTCATCGTTTCGGAATGATAAAGACTACGAGTCAATCACGTCCATGGCGAGTGAAACAACTTACCGTAGGTGAGTCAGCCGTAGCCGTAGTCGTAGCCGTAGTGGTAGCACGTTGTGGTATAGGTGTCTCACATAACATTGCTCTCACGTCGAAAACGTCCAAACGACCGTTTCTCTTCTTTTTCATCCTTTTTTTTTTTTTTCTTTTTTTGGTGAGGGTCAAACGAATGGAAAATAGAGGAATTTCCGCAATTTCGATGGAATTTGACTTTTACACGTGGTAAACTACGAGGAATGTGGCACCGTCACGTGACCCATCGTTGGCATGTACAAATACCATGTGGGTTGCATATACAAATATCATGTGGGTTGCATGTACAAATACCATGTGGGTTGCATGTACAGATACCATGTAGGTTGCATATACAGATACCATGTAGGTTGCATATACAAATATCATGTGGGTTGCATATACATACACCATGTGGGTTGCATATACAAATACTTTCATAGATGGGTGATACCAATACGCTACTTGCGCAAACGAATCATCAACTTCAATATCGCACCATACCCTTTCCAAAACTCATCGGTCGATTCCAATTTACGTTGAGCGTGTTGAACGTGATTACCATGTCCATGTCCTTTTTCATGTAAACGTTTCAATTCATCTCTCAGATAATCCGGTTTGTGTTCAGCCATGATACCTAATGATCAGCCCGACAGAATGGGATACATCTTGATATTCTCACCTTTGACCCAAACTCTTATCATCGGTTCAAACAATTCTCCTCGATTGACCAACATTTCCAATTCTTCTTCTTTCTCTTTTCTTGACCTTGTTCCGAAATCATCCCCTTCCGAAACAATGTCCAATACCAGTTGGATACCTGGGTTGTCCGGTCGGATTTGGTTTTGCAGACCCCCTGAGATGTCAGGGTCTTGCCATTTGAGGGAACCGCTTTCAACTCTATCATATCCGGGTTGCCGGTTGGTTTTTCTCACGGATCAGATGTTGGAACAATGGGACGTTGGATCATGGGATCAGGGAAACATTGGAACATTGAAACATTGAAACATTGAAACATTGAAACATTGGAACATTGGATATTCGAAACGGTCCTAACTCACTTGATAAAACACGTTGGATGAAAGCCAGTCCATCTAGATCTATTCCATCATGAGCGTTTTTTCGGAAACAACGTTTAAAAAAACCTACTACTGCAATGATGTAAAATCGGTAAGATAGCTTTTCTCATCACTTGTTGAAAAGGTATGACACAACTCGCCACCAAGGGAAAAGGTAAATGTTCACCAACATCTCTTAAATGATAACGACCGGAAAACGTTTCAGAGCTCATGACCAAAACGTCTTGTACGTCTTGAGAAAAATCTACGAGACCGTTACTGACGAAAGTCCTCAGATCTCTTCTCGTCTCGAGATGGTTGTTGGACAAAGTCAACTTGTCGATAATGTGGATTTGATGATACCAACGACACCAAAGGGACAAAAGGGAGCACAGATGGGGATAAGATCGTGACAGGTAGTGTTGGAGAATGTCTGGATATCCTTTTGGTGGTGAGAGAGCGATCAGACTGAGAATGATTCCAAGACAATCCGCGATCAACGTTTGGGTGAAATCACATTCGATTTGACAGGACCTTTGGTGACGTTGGTCCCACCTGGCCTGCAAGTTTTGTCAGCTTGTCGCGGAGACGAACAGGTCAGGTCGCATCTTGCTTTTCAAACTATGCACGGCAGTCGCTATCCCGGACGGGAGGGGACCGCGAGGCAGGCGCCAAAGGGAGAGGGACGAGGAGGGAGAGGGACGAGGAGGGAGAGGGACGAGGAGGGAGAGGTACGACGAGGAAAAGGGACGACGAGGAAAAGGGACGACGAGGCGAGGGACCAAAAGCAAGGGGAGAAGTGTGGTCGTGGCGGAGCAAGGATAATGTCGGGTTGGAGATTATCGACGACACATAGTTGAAAGACATAGAGTATGGTGTCACAGCAAACGATGCGAGTATGGACGTGGGCGGGAATTCGCTCCACAAGGTCAGAGGAGAGAGAGAGAGAGAGAGAGCAACAACTCACCTTGGCAGTCATTACCAAACATTCACAAATATCTACAATCTTCACACTTAGATATCTCCTCTTTGCTTCATTCTCTTCACTCTCACTCCCGTCCCCATCACCTCTACCGATCACATTGACAGTATCGCCAACGATGACGTGGACGATCGTCCAAGGTCTGATCGTTTCCCAAGCTGAAAGAGGTTGGTTGAGGACTAACCAAGTAATCGTAGACCACATCTGATCATCAGTCTGCTTCCGGTTCCAAATGTCAATCACAATCCATCATAGTTTGAAAGAGCGGCCAGAGTTCGGTAAGAAAGAGCGGTCAGAGTTGGGCAAGAGCAGAGAGCGGCCATAGTTGATGAGACAAAGACCCGTCAGAATCGGGAAAGACCAGTTCGAGTTTTTGGCAAGAGCGGTCTGATTGGGCAAGATCTGTCAGAGTGGGGGACAGCGAGCAGAATTGGGGAAAGACCAATCCAGGTTTTGGCAAGACGCAATCAGGAAAGAAAAAAAGGAAACCACAATCGTCACTCTGACTCACCTCATCTTGATATTGAAACCAACGTTCTCCAAACGAAAGAAGAGGATCATTATCGTCTCGATCGATCGGAGGAAAAGGTAGAATCAAACTCGAGTCTGTCATTCCTGATGATATTCCCAAATCACCTTGATCTTCTTCATCTTGTTCCTCTTCGAAACGAAAAACGTTTTGTCGGTAATCCCATTCTGATAAAGAAGGATATTCGAAAGTCGACATTGAATCGTTTTCATCGAGAAGTCCACCTATGAACCTTCCTCTACTCGCAATAGTAGTCAATGACATGTCCACTTGTGATGTATAACCGTCGATATCAACATGTTCCGAATCGTTTCGTTCTTGTTTCTCACGTTCGATTTCTCTCTCCATTTTCATCATTTCTCTCTCTACTTTCTCTTTTTCCGATTGCCACCAATCGATTTCTTTGTAAATGTTATACTTTACTACCTTGGGACAAAGAACCAACGTTTTACCAATCTTCCAATTCCAACTCTCTCTCAATTCGATCTCTTCCGTTCCGCTCGAGAGAATCTGCAAGATTCTATCAACCCTTTGTTTCATTTCATCTCTCTCAAAACCCTCGATTCCAATTTCATTTCCAGTCCCATTTCCATCTCCACCATGTCCATTTCCACTTGCCCCCGCGTCCAAGTTGAAACGAGGTTCAAGGATCAAAACATCATGTATAGGAACCAAACATCCTTGACCTGAGAAATCCAAAAGACGATTGTTCAGACCCAAAGCTTGAACCTGTCTACAGACCGTTTCGTCATCCCATTCTCCCCCTTTACCCGTCATGTTAGGTCTCAAACATCTGATCCAATGGACACAACTTGCAGACGTCACTTGAGAAATCAACTCTCCCACCGATACCTGAAGACTGGTCATGATCGCAGGAGGACGAGGGTTTTTCTTTCCTTTGCCCCAGGGAACAGGATCACGCTTGAGGTCGTTATCACTCGACACCAACGTTCTGATTATGTGATTGTCCGATTCAGATAGGATATCCATCATACCCTCTGGTGTTCTCTCAGAGTTGGATTGGATCAATTCTTCCGTCATGTATTCCACCGGACCGTTGTAATGAAGGATCTTCATGTTACCGTTCGGAAGGATTTCTATCAAAGGTGACGGGTTGGGATTGGACTTTGGGGACGGTTTCGTCATGGTTGAAGATGTGGACGTGGACGTGGATGTGGTTGTAGATGTGGGTGTGGATGTGGTTGTAGATGTAGAAGTAGGTCGAGATGTCATTTCCGTCGTATTGACAAGTTGCAATAACCAATCCCCGCCACCACCACCATTATGAGATTTAGCACCATTGGTCAATTCCACAGATCGACATTGATCATGTAACAAACGGATAAGACCTCTAGGTCCTTCGAACAGACGTAATACAGATTCGGAATCGACTTGCTCGGTTGGACTTTCGGTTTCAAAACCTTCTTGGATGAGGGTGGAGATGTGGGCGTCGACAAGTTCACGTTGGTACTGTTCGTCAGCTCAGGTCATGACACACGAGGGGGGGGGGGGGGGGCAGAGTTGGTGGGAATGAATTGAGAGAGGGATCCCCCCCGTTAAAGTAAATGACGGGGATCAGGTATGAAGGGAAGGGAAGGGAAGAGAAGATGGAAAAAGAAAAGGAACTGAAAACTGACCAAAGAATGTAAATGTTCGTTGGTATAATTTATACATAGTTGATCGAATTTATTATCTTGGACGTTTTCGAAACCGTACTGCGGGGTATGTCAGCGGGTGGGTCAAAGTGGTGGATGGTTGCATGGTCCGTTCTGTTGATTTGAAGGGTTTGGGGTGTGTGTGTATTGGTTTGGGGTGTGTGTGTACGAGGTGGAAGGGTGGAGGGAAAGGCGGTGGACGGATAGATGCGGAAGATACAGAGATGGATGGACAGGTGACGAGATCGAAGCGAGAGGGGGCCGCTAGCAGTGAGGAATGAAGAGAGAGTTATCGAAGGAAAGAGAGATGGGTGGAAACTGAGATAGAGAGATGTTGAAGGGAAGGGAGAGCGATATGTGGATGGGAAGAAACGAAGAGAGAGGGGGATGAGTATTGAGGGATATGACGAGAGATAGAGAGGGAGAGAGAGAGAGAGAGAGAGAGAGTACACAAGACAAAGATGAATACAATACAAAACTCACAACATCTATGATCTTTATCGATCTAGTCACATCGGATTTTTCATCTCTACCCTTGGTCCCTTGTTCTCCCTTGGGCTCCGTCTCCTTGCCTTCCCCCTGCAAAGACATATTCACCCGTCCAACCAACCACTCAAACAAACGAGCATAAAGCCATTTCGCGATATTCCCAGCTTGAACACGTACAAAGTCTTCAGAAGGTGATGAAAAAGGAATCGACACATTTCCTTTTCCGACTTTTCTGAAATTCGTACGAAGTAAACCGACCAGCTTTCCTTTTTCCAAACCCAATTTCCGTTCAGTCAGATGAAGACGCTGGTTTGTCAATTGTATTTCATCTTTCCCCTTGCCCCTCGTCTGGTCCGTTTCCGTTTCCGTTCCCGTTTCCCCCTCGGTCGTGTCGACGTTGAGATTTAAAAAACAACAAGATAGATGATTGACACCTTGCAAGATATCAAAAACCAATTCCACATCATGTTCTTTCATCCCTTTGATCTTGAGGAATTGTTTTTTGATCTTTTCCAAAGTCCATCCTTGTATCATGTCGATAGGTTTCGATTCATCATTTCGACCGGGGATCAAACGTAAGATATGAAAAGTATCATCGTTCTTGTTGCAAGGGTTTAACACCCTGGATCTTTCCAACAGGCAAGGGGTTATCTTGATACCTTTGACTTTATCGTCGTGAGACAATTCGTTCTCGATCGTTTTACCGAACCTTGAAGAGTCTTGGTTCAGGATGGTTTTGGCGTTTCCGAAGACTTCGAATAGGGATTGAGGACCTTGGTCTGGGGTTTGGGTGGGGTTTTGAGTTCCGGAACGGTCTCGGTCTTGGATCCCGGATGGTTCGATTAAGAAATCCATGATGGCACGAGCGATTGTGGTTTTCCCACTGCCGCTGATTTGTCAGTTGGGGTGACGTTTCAAGTTTTTCCCAGCTTTAGGGTGGGGGTAGGATATCGGTGGAATGCGAGTGTGTGATTGGGTAAGCTACGAACTGACCTCTCACCACTCAAAACGATGGCTTGATCGCCTTCAAGGTTCAAAGCTTGAACCAACAACTTGAAAGGGTGACAAGGCATATCTCGTACGTCACCATTGATCATGGCCGTCTTGAAAGATTGAACGACCGAAGGATCGTCTGCCATGAGCGGGAGCACCGAGACAGGTAAAAGGAAAAGAAACTGACACATTCCACTTTGTTGAAAAGGGTTGATCGAAACCTATTCAGACGTCAGTCGTCAGTACAGGTTGATTCTTGCTTGACTCACCATGGCTAAATCCAAAGAGATACATGGCCATTGTAAACCGAGCAGTGTCTCCTTGAACTGTGACATTATTTGGTTTTTCCTGTTTTATATAGAAAAAGATGGTAATCACCTCGTTTTCCGTTGGCAGTTTGCCCTCGCCTCACTGCCACGTGACCCATTTCCTCAACAAGACACCCCCGCTCAAAACATGCCACAACCACCTAGACCTATCTAAATCGTCGTAGATCCATCCGAGTTGTTCCGTCCGGAGAACAGTCGACAGTTCGGACCATGACGGTGCACACGAGCTTTGTCTTTTACCCAACGGTACACCGTCCGTTTGAGCGACCGACCTGTTCAACATATCGATGGCGATGCAAGACGAATCTTGAACGAGGGGTAGCTCGTCGTTGCTAATGTCGTACTGTCGTTCTGTCAGCTCGGTCTTTGGGGTCTCTTAGATCAAGGTGACCGAGTGGATTGATGGGGCGATTTTCAATTCCAAACTTGTGTAAACCCCTCCAAACTCTTGTGCCTCATCGTCCTCTCACTTTATCATCCCCATCGTTCTCTCACTTTATCATCCCCATCGTTCTCTCACTCTATCATCCCCATCGTTCTCTCACTCTATCATCCCCATCGTTCTCTCACTCTATCATCCCCATCATCCTCTCACTCTATCATCCCCATCATCCTCTCACTCTATCATCCCCATCATCCTCTCACCCCATCCGGTCAGACGAATGAACCGACGGACAGAACAAAACGGTCCGATGACAAAGACGGGTGGAAGGACTCAAACGGATCCAATCTAAACTCACAAACTTTCCGATAGGTCTAAAGAATATCTCCCAATCTTTCAAATCGGATGAACATCCGTCCGATCGGTCAGAAGAAACGATCATGATCCTACTCAAGAACTAGGTTATTCCTTTCAGCTAGATCACGACTTTGGTTGGAGATCGGGATAAGCGACGAGCGAGGGGGGGGGGGGGGAGGAGGAGCAATCAAAACCTAAAGTAAAAGTAACGATAACGATATGAAAAAATAAAGATTAAAGGGTAGAAAAACTCACGGAATTCCCCCATTCTTCTAAACTTGTTCTCAAACTCTTTTCATATGGACGAGGTATGTAAATTGATAATTGTTTAAACACCAGATCAAGTTGACAAGTTACGTGTAAGAGGTTTGAGGTTTGGTTCGATGTACGTTCTGTTGACGGTAGTTTTACCGGTGATGGGGATGGGGAGGGTGATGAAGATGGGGATGGTGAGGAGGACGACAAAGGTTCAAAGTGAACAAAACAACTCAATATATGAAAAGACTTAACATAATCGTCAACACCATTTCGTAACTCTTTGATCAAAATTTCTTCTTGTTCTTTCCCAGATATTTCTTGATGTCGTTTTGTTTTCTTTGCATTTTTAGCTATATCGTCTGTCGTTTGTCCATCTCCATCCCCATCTTGGTCTCCTTTTCTTTCTCTGTTTCTGTTATCAACATGATTCCCTCGCTCCTCAACACCACACTCTCCCTCGTCGACACGACTCCTTCCCTCCTCATCATCGACCATGGGATCCTCTTGTTCTTCTTCTCCTCTTTCTCTTTCGTGTCGGATAAGATCCCCCTCGATAGGATCATGAGCACGGTCCATCATGACTTGATCTCCCTCTTCTTCCTCTAGAAACCCCCGAGCAGGATGACCATCGTCCAACATGACTTGCTCTCCCTCTTCTTCAACAGGAAAAGTAGATTCGAGTTGACCTCGACAGCTTTGTCCACGATCACGATCGTAAAATCCAACGATGGGTACTGAAATGGTATGATCATGTATATAAATCCGTTTCCGTTTCGGATCATTCTGTCCTCGTAATACCTCTTCACTCAGAGAGAAGAAAAGACGTATCTTGTGAATCAATACCAAGAGTGTTTGTTCGGAATACGAATGACCAAAAACGAATTGTTCAAATGTCGTTTTTTCTTCTAACCAATTTTTCAATCCTGTCCAGGTATCACCTAATAAATGGTCTTCCAAACAAGTCGGTCGGATGTTGTGGTCGAGTGTCGAGGACGAAGGTTCAGAGGAAGAAGAAGAAAAAGAACGAGGAGGAGGAGGAGGAGGAAGAAGAGAAGATTGATTTCTTAATCCTTTCATCATTCCCTTTAATCTAAATTCAATATCCTTATCCTTATCCTTTTCCACTCCTAAACCCATACCCATACCCATACCTACTCCTAAACGTTTCAAAACGACTTTTAAACCATTTTCACTCTGTCCAACAACTCCCCAAAGTCTATCGACATCTCGACAGCTACACAAACTCGACCTACTCTTCCATGCTGACATCCTTAAGAGAGATTCGAACTCATCCGATAACGGTAGGTTCTCAATGATGAAATCTATCGTTTCGTCCACTTTCACTTTGACTTTATCCCTTCTTATATACCCCGTTTCGAAGAATGGATCGTCACATAATACCTGATCGAATATGTTGGTACCGTACCGAGAATGAATAGCTTTCAAGATCGTACCGAGATGTTGACTGGGGGTGGGTGATGGGGTGGACTATAACGGTAAGCGAAATTCTATTTTGTCATGAAAGATCAAAATTGAACTCGGAACTTACGGTTGTTCCATCTAATAACCGACATAAAGCGTCGACAACTTTTATATCGCTCAGTGAACCAACTTGTTGGACGGTATCTTGTTGCATCGTCGTTTTCAAAATATAGATATAGATCGAATGGTGAGGGATATGAGTAGATAACCAAGTTATTGAGATGACAGATGATTTGTATGTTCGAAAACAGACCCACGTGGGGGTCACGTGCGCCCGAACGGGACCATTTTTGCAACTCAACCTGTTATTCACCTCACCATATACCAAAGCATGCACTCTTTCAATATGCTCTTTTCTGTGCTCCTTTCCAATCATCCATGTCCCATAGTACCTGCTAGACATTGTGCTGGCAAATTTGCATTGTAATTTGCATGCAAAAGCACCAAAAGTCAGTGATTCGCAAATCCACAGTATCTATATCACCCCTCTTGTCCAGCTTCTCTCTCAAAGACCGACGATCGACAAACCTCGTACTCTGGGGTTTATGTTTCACCTAACTGAAGATGCAGACTTTGAATCGAGGGCAACTTTGACAAACTCCGTCGCAGTTGCTAGGTGTTGGGGTTTGCTAGTTGTCACGCCTCTCGTCGAGCTTCTCTCTCAAAGACCAACGGTCTATGAACCTCGGCTAACTTTGTACTCTGGGGTTGATGTCTCGCCCAAACAGGAGGGCACAGCCTTCGATCTGAAACTTCAAGAAAGTTTGTCACAGTTGCTTGGTGTGGGGTTGGCTAGTGGCGATCAATCTCAATGTGGGAGTAGCCATCTCTATCTATTTTTCACTACTGACTATAATCAAGGATCGCTGAAGTTCTTCAGCAATCTCCTCAGCTAATACTATCCACTCCCCACTAGAACTTCACCCAACCCATCCATGCTCCAACGTACTTTGGTGAACTTCCCCGAGTCACCAAGCACTTGTTCTCCTATCCTTGCCTGACTTTGCCGCACTTCTGCTTCCTTACTTCCTAACCATCCTAACTTTGCCGTACTTCTGCTTCCTTCCTCCCTAGCCATCCTACCTTTGCCGTACTTCGCTGTACTTCATCGACTTCTTAATCCATGTACTGTTGAAATTTGAATAAGCGCAGGTACGTGTTACCACTCGTACCCAAGCAATCTCAGGGATGTCAGAACTGATTTAAGGGCTTTTCAGAGGCATTCTGAGACTGTCTCAAAAGGAATGAACCCTGTACGTTCAGCTGTGTTGATTCTAATTGATTTCGTATTGAAATTTGAATAAGCGCAGGTACGTGTTACTGCTCATGCCCGAGGGATCTCAGGGATGTCAGAACTGATTTAAGGGCTTTTCAGAGGCATTCTGAGACTGTCTCAAAAGGAATGAACCCTGTATGTTCAGCTGTGTCGATTCTAATTGATTTCGTAATCCATGTACTAATGAAATTTGAATAAGACCAGGTATGTGTTACCACTCGTGCCTGAGGGATCTCAGGGCTGTCAGTCCACTTCAGGCACCTACTTTAGCCCATTCTGAGACTGTCCCAAAAGGAATCAACCCTGTACGTTCAGCCGTGTCAATTCTAATTGATTTCGTAATCCATGTACTGATGAAAATGGAATAAGCGCAGGTACGTGTTACCACTCGTGCCTGAGGGATCTCAGGGCCGTCAGTCCACTTCAGGCACCTACTTTGGCCCATTCTGAGACTGTCTCAAAAGGAATCAACCCTGTACGTTCCGCCGTGTCAATTCTAATTGATTTCGTAATCCATGTACTGATGAAAATGGAATAAGCGCAGGTACGTGTTACCACTTGTGCCTGAGGGATCTCAGGGCCGTCAGTCCACTTCAGGCACCTACTTTGGCCCATTCTGAGACTGTCTCAAAAGGAATCAACCCTGTACGTTCCGCCGTGTCGATTCTAATTGATTTCGTAATCCATGTACTGATGAAAATGGAATAAGCGCAGGTACGTGTTACCACTTGTGCCTGAGGGATCTCAGGGCCGTCAGTCCACTTCAGGCACCTACTTTGGCCCATTCTGAGACTGTCTCAAAAGGAATCAACCCTGTACGTTCAGCCGTGTCAATTCTAATTGATTTCATAATCCATGTACTATTGAAATTTGAATAAGACCAGGTAAGTGTTACTGCCCATGCCCGAGGGATCTCAGGGCTGTCAGAACTGATTTAAGGGCTTTTCAGAGGCATTCTGAGACTGTCTCAAAAGGAATCAACCCTGTACGTTCAGCCATGTCAATTCTAATTGATTTCGAAATCCATGTACTATTGCATAAATTCTCTTTCCTTCTTTTCATGATCTCTGTCCCGCACTGCCCGGTCCCGTCCCCTCTCTGCAACCTCACACCGACGTTGTATTTCTATATTTCTACGCTTGAGGTCTTCATTTTCACGCTTCATATCCTCATTCTGCCGCTGCACTTCTTCCATCTCTCTGTCACAAACGTCGTTTCTTCTTCTCTACTGACCGACGGTCGACAAACCTCGGCTAACTACGTTGTAGTGGGGCGTCGTTGTCTCACTAACACAGGGTACTCGACGAGGAACTACGGCTAACTTCGCCGTAGTGATGTGTCGAGTGGTAAATGATAGGATGATCGTCGATGAACTGCGGCTAACTTCGCCGTAGTACGTTGAACTGCTAAGTGGTAGCTCTCCTTAACTCGAAGGTTGTAGCTAATGAATATATCTCTCGCTACTGACAACAATCAAGGATCGCTGAAGAAGTTCAGCGATCTGTAAACTATCTATACTACTCCTCTCTCCTCATAGAACGTCTCTCAACTCCTGCACTGCCTCACGCTCAGTCCCCTTCGTTCAACTTCGCCGTACCTCGCCATATCCCCGATATCCTACTCTGCTCACTTCGACTAACTTCGCCTAACTTCCCCTATCCTACTCTCCCTCGGCTCCCTTCCACTAACTTCGCCGTAGTTCTCCGCTAGACGGGGTTACCGTGACAAATCCCTCTTCGGTTCTCGTAACTTCGTCGTAGTTGGTCTCAGTGGTTCGAGTGGAGGTTGGTGGTGGTGGAAGGAAGGTCGGTGATGGTGAAAGGAGGGTCGGTGATGGTGGTTGTCAGGGATGTTACGACGTAGTTCGTGACACTCTCGCTGGAGTTCTTTGTTCTGACTTTCCAACACTTCATCTTTCCTCGCACAAGACTCTAATTCTTCTCTGAGCCGCTCCGATTCGGCTCTCACTTCCGCTACCACTGACTCCAAGACAAGGCAGTCTTCGTCCCTGTCAACCGAACCTTTTGGGGACGCGGCTTCATGTAACGCTTCGTTTTCTGCCTTCAAAGTTGCAATGAGGCGTTCGGCATCCAGACGAGCGGTCCGCATGTCTTCGTATCTGCCACGAGCGGCTTGGATATTCGTGGCGAGGCTGTCGAATAGATCATCAGGTGTGAAGGGCCCTTCAAAATTGGACTCATCGTTCGACGAGAGCGTGTGATTGAGACGATAGTCAGGAGGTGGGGCTCGTGGAGGGTTACGGCGTTGACGTTTATTCATAACATCTTCGGGTGTGACCGTCCTTGTTTCAATTGGGTTCTGAGGTCCAGCGTACTCGGACTCGGACTCTTTGAGTGGGATTCGGCTTAAACCGCAACCGTCATGTCCAGCTTGACGACAAACCCAACACCTGTTGCACCGTCCCAAGTCTGACCAACTGAAAGCCAGAGTTGGCATATCTCTCTCTGTTGCATAAGAGCACTTCCATTTCGGGTATAGAGCTCTGACGGCCCTGTCTGTCAGGATAAGCCCCCAGCTTGGCAGTGAGTCACTCATGGCACATAGAAAAAAGCGGGGATGCGATACTTGCAGCCTTCACATGTCCGTTTACGGGACCGTTTGTGACTTCGATTGCAGACAAAGTTCTTAACCGTGCCTGCTATCTTCTTTGACTCTGAGCGGCTTAAAATGTATCGCGTTAGACCGTAATGAGCGGCGGAAGAGGGAAAGAATCGGTCTGGGACATGGGATGGGCGTTGAAGATCACCACCATACTTTTCACAATGCTTCACAATGCTTTCTTTGTTGGCGTATATAAGATCGTTTTTGCGGGAAGTGAGCCATTCGAGACCGTAAGGACCGGTAATTTTGGTGAGGTCTGATTCGATCTCGTCAGCCCACCAAAGAGATTGGTCAGACGGTTCGATATCATCGGGTAAAGGTTCGATGACGGACGATGATGGCGAGGCGGACATGACAACGTCGTAGGTACTGTGGTCAATGGACGGACGGTGAGGATTCGAAGAAGTACTGGAAGAGAAAAGAGTGAGAAACTGTGGATGTATGAAGGTAAAACGAATGTCAGTAGCCCTTGAAGTTCAGAACACGGATACATGTTTGTCATTCTTTCGCTTGTCTACCTCACCATGCGCCCGGAAGTCCCGTCACAGCTAGACCCTTGATCACGCACCTGAAAACTTCGGGCGAGCTGTCACTACGCAGTAGCAGCCATAGATAGGGTCTCAGCTGGAGCAGCCTGGATCTGATTATTTATTCTAATTGATTTCGTAATCCATGTACTATTGAAATTTGAATAAGACCAGGTACGTGTTACCACTTGTGCCTGAGGGATCTCAGGGCCGTCAGTCCACTTCAGGCACCTACTTTGGCCCATTCTGAGACTGTCTCAAAAGGAATGAACCCTGTATGTTCAGTCGTGTCGATTCTAATTGATTTCGTAATCCATCCAAAAAAAAAAAAGCAATCAAAGGATTAGATGATACATGCTTCCAAGTACTGGGGTTTAGGGTTTATATCTAAAGACTACGTAAGGCTAATTAAGCATGGAATGTTGTAGATTGATATGGTGGAAGGAAAGAGAATGATCTACACGGATCTAAATGGTTCTACTACGGTTTGCGTGCTGGTTCTTTCTCCACATTCCATACAAAGTCCCAACTGTAGAACGGAATGCGAGGTTACCAAGATACGAAATACGAAAATACAAAATACGAAGTACGAATTACGAAGATACGAGAATACGAAAATACAAGATACGAAAATACAAAATACGAAAATACGAAGATACGAAGATACGAATTACGAAGATACGAGAATACGAAGATACGAAGATACGAAAATACAAAATACGAAGTACGAGAATACGAAGATACGAAATACGAAAATACAAAATACGAAGTACGAAGATACGAGAATACGAAAATACAAAATACGAAGTACGAAAATACAAAATACGAAGTACGAAGATACGAGAATACGAAAATACAAAATACGAAGTACGAAGATACGAAGATACGAAAATACGAAGATACGAGAATACGAAAATACAGAAATACGAGAATACGAAATACGGAAATACGGAAACACGAAAATACGCAAACACGAAACACGAAACACGATTAATTCACACTCTCTGACCAAAAAAAAAAAATCAATCTACATGAAGAAATCCAACCCGTCAGATTTCCCCCTCATTCTCTCTTCGTTTCCGTTCCCGTTGCACCGTTGTCCCCCTTTCCGATACTTGGTATATTAAGAATGCTTGAAAAGTTCAGGATTGGAATCCTCCGACTCTGAGTGACACGCGAAGCGATTGAGCCGAATTAGTCATGGTCATATGTGAAAAACTTTTACAATCCACGAGCCCGACTTTGCCCGCCAAAAAAGTTACATACCCATCTAAGTTGAAAAATATGATATATAATCTTATATAAAGACGGGTCGGGTTATAAATTCGTATCCATTATCATTACATTACCATTTTATCCCCCACTGATCACATTCCTTTTCAAATCTTGATTCTCCTTTTTCAGAGAAAGGAAAGAATCCAACAAATCTTTATTCTCCCTTTTTGATTCCCTGAGAGATAAAAGCATTTCATCATTTTCCCTCTTACTCTGACGTAAAGAGTACATCAACCTTTCCATTTCTGATTTCGTTTGTTCCAACGATACTATCAAGTTTTCTTTTTCCGTTTTGACATTGACTAGATGATCATTTTGTCTCTTCACCTCTTGGAGAGAATTCAACAGTTTTTCTTTTTCTTCTTTCTCATTCTTCAATGATCGATCGATCAAGAGTAATCGTGTTTCCGTTTTGAGAGATTTTAAAAGGAGAGAATCGTGTTGATTTTGAAGTAGGTTTAGTTGGGCATGATGGTTTTTCATAGATGATTCGAGTAAATTGGTTAATGATTCTGAAACGCAAATCGTTTCGTCTGTTGGAAGGACATTGACAGTGACATTCGATGATGATGATGATGATGATGATGATGATGATGATGGTATTTGAGAGGTTGAAATGGAAGTGACGTTTGTAGATGTAGACGTTGGTGGATTTGGATTTGGATTTGGATTCTCGAATTGGCTTTGGGTTTGAATTTGAATTTGGGTTTGGGTTTGGGTTGATCGTTCGGAGATGAGTTTGCTAGAGATTTTGTCAGCGCAAGTTTTAAACAAGTTCGTTTTACTTTGTCGTCACTATTGACTTAACAAGAAAATGATGAGAAATGAGATGTTTCTTATTACTTGTTGTTTTCCAAGAAAGATAACGACAGATGAAATGTCAAAAAGAGAAGAAGAAAAAAAAAGAGGAAGATAGGATTTGTACGAAAGAGAAAGAAAATTGGAGATGGACAGAGGCAGAGGGGGGTTTTTGGATGGAGAATGTCGATATCTTATTTTCTCTTCATTCATTCACGAGGATATCCTATCGAATCGACTGGGCACGGGACCGAGGTTCTGTCAACGTCCAGACATTTGTTCATATCGCACCAACCAAACGGGTCGTTGTGTCGTGTGGTGTTTTTGTTTTTTTCTTTGGGGTCACCTTTCGAACGAGTCGTCGAGGGAGATCCAAAGCGTCCGAGTCCGAGACCTTTCTTGAAACCAACAAATATCAACCAAAGGTATCTCGTGTCTCATGGTATGATACCGATGAATGTATCATCTCCTTTTCTTTCTCTCTCTCCCGTCGAATGAGCAAAAGTAAAAGTTCAGAACGGTGACATTGACGTTTTTACCCATCGATCGTATTTTTGATCATCTGGATTCTGGGCGGGATTTTGGAGTGAAATCTGGGGGAAAATCGGGTCGGTTCGAAAAATCCCATACCCATGCCGGACGAAATAAAAGTCGGCAATGTCACAATGTGGATGATGATCATACACATGCCGGACGAAATAAAGTCGCCAAATGTCACAATGAGGATGGTGATCATACCCATGCCGATCGAAATAAAGTCGGCAATGTCACAATGTGGATGATGGTTGAGGAACGATTCCAACAGTGTATAGTTATATCTAGGGGTTTTCCCCCGGACTGTGGAATTTGACTCGACGTAGAGGTCATACCGGGGTAAGGTGAGATTGGAGATTGACGAGTAGGTCTAGTTTGGATGATTGTGAGTTGAGGTTTTGTCTGAGGGGGATGAGGTTTTGTTCAATTATACCGCATAGGAATCAAGGAGGATGATTATGAGTTGAGCTATCGGTTTGTTGACGTCTCGTATCCAGGAGGTAAAAGGGTTTGTTAGATTAAACGGTATCGCGCAGAGGATGAAATGATATTTGTGCTAGATTCAAGAAGACGACCATTGTTTTTTGTTGTGTTCGTTTCTTACGGTCAAGGTTTCGACGATCGCTCGTTGGGATGGGATTCCGAGGGATACGTCACGTTTGACTTTGGGTCGTAGGTTGGGACTCGGTGGTAAGGGCTTGGGGTTCCGGGTCGGTGTCGGTGTTGGGTCATGGATGGATGGAGCAAAGATGGATAGGCGAGGGTGTTTCAACGAAAGAGGAGAGAAAGAGAAAGAGAAAGAGAGAGGAAATACCTCGTAAGTCTGAAGAACATGGAGGTGTAGAGATGAAAAAAATGAGAATTGAGGGATGGATGATTCGAGAGGAAAAGTATGGACCGTATCCGTATTCCTAACCAGTGGTACGATCCCATGAGGAAGTTGGACAAAAAGAAAAAAAAACAACACCAAATGAATAGTTGGAGCTTACGAGCTCTTGACAAAGTAATAGTTTAAGGGATACGAAACAAGACGGAGAGAGAAAAAACCGAGCGGTAAGAAGAAAAAGAGGGGAAAATGATAAAAGCTCAAGACGAAAAGAGTAAAACAGAGAACTCACGGGATAGTTTGAGATTCTATCATACCCGAATCCGAATCCGAATCCGAATCCGGATCCAGATCCATCTCTTCTTGTCCATGTCCCAACGATGAATCATCTTGTGAACGATTCCTACCCTGTTGATGTTTATCCAAACCCTCACCCCCGAACCCTTGCAGCTGTTGTGGTAATGTTGAGCTCCCAAACGTTCTTATTTCCCTTTCCCTTCCTTCTTGACCTGTACAAGACATTGACAAGTTTACGTTTCCTGATGAATCTAATTTTGGTCCTTTTAGAATTTGTATGATACCTTCTTGTCTTGTTGCCTCTATCCAAAAACCTTTTTCCTCTTCTTGATCCCCTCTACCTCTATTCTCGTCTTGCCCTTGCCTACTCCCGACGTCCTCTGTACTCTCGGCCGATCCCGATCCCGACCCCGACTGGTCCAGCCTAGCAGGAACACAACCATACCCGAAATCTTGACATCGTCTACAAGTCGATAAATTGAAAACTCTTCTAGGTTCCAAGTCCGAGTCGATCTCCACGTCAATATCAAGTATAGAAGCGATTTCGACGTATTGTTTCCGAGAGAGATCAGGTGATATAGGTCTTGCGCAGATCACGTTGGATTCGAGACATTGGATACAATCTGAATAAAGGTAGTCACTGATATTTTTATCAGCCTCAGCCTCAGCCTGAGCCAGCCCGGGTAAAGTCGGAGTGATGATTGTATGGAAAGGTGAAAAGATGACTCACTCTTCACATACTTGTGACCAGAGGTTGAGATCGAGTTGGAACGGTCCGATGACTGAGATGTGCCCGGGTGTGGTGGTGGTGGTGGTGTTGGTGGTGGTGTTGGTGGTGGTGGTGGTGGTGGTGGTGGTGGTAGCTGTGCTGTTGCTCTTGGCCCATACGACCAAACCTTTGTTATCCCTCTGGCCATCATGTTCAACGTAGACGTCTTTCAAGTTTGGTGCAATGTATATCCTCATCGTGTATCATTGAATGCGTTTACTTGTTTGCATACGATTATTGCAGTTGAAAGCCATACTCATATGACAACTGTACCCAGTAATAATGCCACGTCATCATCCACCACGTCATATACTCGCCTGCATATCGCTAGTAGTCACCCTCCCATCCACCCTCGTCACCTTTTGTCTCTTGTGATAATCCCTACCCCCTTGTCCTTCCGAAAGTGTCCTCTTCCCGTCTTTCCTGACCCTTGCTCCCTGTCCCTCTACTTGTTCCCCCACAGTCCTCCCCGTCGCTGCCTTGCACCCGACCCTCTCCCTCTTCCCATCCCCGTTCTCTCGGACGACCCTCTTGGCAATGGACGAAACAGTCGGACAGAGGTATCAAGGGATCGGCTTGAACGGATGGATAATGTCAAGGTCGGTTTCCGCCGACGGACGGAGCAGGTACATTGTCGCTGCCGCGTGTCTCCCTGGGGTCAGCCGGTCATACCTGACGACGGGGGATGAGATGTACACGTCTAGGTACGCTTTCCGACATTGTCGACCCGCACCTCTGGCCAATTCACATCCATTGTCGTCACAGCAAGCCAAGGTAGGGCAAAGACGGTGTAAAGGGTTGGAAAGGACATGAGAAAAAGCAAAGGTGCTCGAGGGAGAGTTACATGATGGGAAACCAAGCCGACCTACTCACAACTTTTCACCAGAAACGAGATTCATCGATTCTTTTCCGAACCTGATCACGTAGCTCCCATATACGACCGTGGGATCGGGGTCGATCGGGGTGGAAGATGAGGGAGATTGTTTTCCCGCTGAGAGGAATCAGCTGGTGCGGTGGCGTGAGATGTCAGTCGGGTAGCTTTCAGTCATGACAAGTCCCAGGGGTTTGCTACAAAGCAAGATCAGGGAGGGTCGGATGGGTGGAATGGGTGTTGAACTGAACGAGCGTCAAGACGAGTTTGGAAGAAGACTGGAGCAAAGGGACGATGACTAAGAGGGGAAGGGAACAAACACAAAGGTCATGACTTTGACGCGGGTCATATCAAAAGAGTGTGACGACCGGACATGACAGACGAAAGGAGACGAATCAAATGGAGAGCAAGAACGAACCATGGAAAACACAAGAAACCGCGGTGTTATCATGCCGGGAAGAATGACAAGAAAAGATAAATCTCAAGGTCGGATCGGACGGATCCTTGAAAGTCCTGAAGTGGAACCAACGACTCGGTTTGAGATACTAAGTCAAGGAACACGCTATCCGGGTCGAGTTAACGATTCCATCAGGGTTGGATTGGGATAAGGGAGGCATGAAGGGAAGAAAGTGAAAACGACGAGGAGAGAAAGTGGAGAAGAGAATCTCAAAAGTAAAGGAAGCGAAAAAAGGACTGACCTAGAAAACATATATCCACCGAACGATCTCCAATCATTGTCTGAAAGTCAGTCGGCTGGTCGGGTCGTGAGGTTAGTTTTGGGGTTTGGATAGGGTCAACGAGGACTAGATGGTGACTTTGGTGGTTTTCGAATATGGGGTATGGATTGCATGTTGATTCGAGGTATGAAGAGTGAAAGCTCCCTTCCCCCCCTCCCACACTGACCTGTAACATGAAACCCATAGGTCTTTGACTGATATCCAACCGACTCTACGATTTGTCCTTTGGTAAAACCCCAACGGTTCCATCGACAAACATTACCGCCCGTGTGACTTGGACCGATCCGTGGGCAAGGTTGTTGGCGATGGAATCGATGGTTTCTACCACGAGAAGTATATGAGTGGCTTCTGGCCAAAGGATCAGGATGGCAGTTGCGGTTGAAGTTGGGTTAGGTGCGAGAGCGAGTGGGCGAGAAAGGTTAAGGATAAGATGTATGGTCTTGCATAATTGATTGATCCAACGATATGAAGAATCATGTAATTGATCTTTGCCGTCAACGCTAGGTGATAGGGGGAGAAGAGGACTTACGGAGATGAGAACGAGTATGAGAGACTGAAAATGTATCTTGCGACCTATTCAAGTGAGTTAGCCATGTTTGCTTGTTTGCTCGTCGTTTGACTTTGACTCACGGCTTGTTTGATGATAAAAGATGAATGTGATGATTGATATCAAGTTGTCTCACAATAACAAGTTTTCAGTATCTTTTCAATTTCGCAAACAATCACTTGGACTGTTTCGCAGACAACACCCATACAAGGTATCTCGGCGTTATCCAAAGTGGCAATTATTAACGCCGACGCTTAACCCCGAAACTTTGGGGAAACACCAATTTTGACAAACAGGAGATTGACAAATCGACCCTCTTTCGACAAGAAATCGCAAACAAAGAGAATATGACTAGCACTACTGTCCGAGGGATAAAATGGCGTTTTAAACGTACAGGTAAGTACGTCACCAGACCTGAATGACTATATGTTAATGTTCTTAGATACCAACGCTGCTGCTCATCGACGACCAAGGGGGGGATCGAGACTGGTACAGCAAGACCGGGACGATGCTTTGGGGGTTCAAGTTACCGATGGTTCGGTACAAAACGATACCGATGGTTTGGTTCAAAACGATACAGATATACAAATAGACAATTTCGTAAACGATACCACCACAAATTTTCAAAACCATACCAACGTAATTCAACATGATCCCATTTTTACTCTTTCTCAACTTGCCACCCCCACCCCCACTCCGGTCGGTCAAAGGGGGAAGACGAAGCAAGACATGTTATCAAGTTCAAACCTCCTCATCGATCTTACCGACTTTAATATCAGTACCGACCAGATACAAGTCGGATCGGTAGAAACTTGTACTCGAAATGGATTCATGATCGATCCTTATGAAGAGATACACGAAGCTTTTTTCACTTTGGATGGGGAATCAACTTTGGAACTTTTCCCTTCCGTTCAGGATAATGTTTATGGATGCATTTCTGTTCGGGATAAAGTAGATGGATCTCATTCTGTCAAGGATAAAGTAGACGATGGATCTCATTCTGTCAAGGATAAAGTGGACGATGGATCTCATTCTGTCAAGGATACAGTGGACGATGGATGTATTTCCGTTAAGAATAAAGGAAACGATAACCTTCAGAACAAGAAAAAAGAAAAAAAAAAGATCAACATCCCACCATCTCATCCACCGATCAAATAACGACTACTTTTGTTCCAAACGCAAACTCTATCGACAACCAAAACCCGACATATGACTCCAATTCTATCAAAGACCAAATAAAGACTCATGATTCAAACTCAACCTCAAACTCCAACTCGAAATCTATCAAAGACCAAATGACGACTTATGATTCAAACTCAAACTGCAATTCTATCAAAGACGAACAAGACGAATTATCAATCTATACACCAATATCACCTTTCCGCTCTATTCCTGTTCCAATTTCGAATCCCATTTCCATCTTACCAAAGGTCAAGATTGAATTATCAGATCCGGATTCAAGTTCAACTTTGAAACAAATAAGATCATCTCTTTCGTCACCTTTACCTTTGACCTCTTCCAAGTCGAACAACTCTTCATATTCAACGTTTGGTAATTCAGCTCTTGCACATGAAGTAATTTTCCCTACTTTTACACATCACGTTCCGATGGAGGATCGTAACATTGTTTTACCACTTGTTCTTGATCGTACCGTTCCACTTGCTCTTTTCGAAACCGACACCGACCCCAATACGGTATCTTCTTCTGAACATCCTGAATCGACTTGTTTATTCCCCATGGATGAAATCAATCCCGTCTTCTTAAATGAACATGACCATGTGAATGTAAATGTTCTTTCAAATCGACATGCTTCAAACCATGTAGTTGCCGATTCCCCTCTTCTCAACCATGACCATGTAAATGTTTTCTCGAATCGACATGACCAAAATACCGTTTCCCCTCTTTTCAACCATGACCATGTAAATGTTGTCTCAAATCTTCATGCTTCAAACCATGTAAACGCCGTTTTCTGCCAATCTCAACCATGACCATGAAAATGCAAATCCCTTCCCCCCCAATCTCAACAACGGATATACCCATTACCTTGTCAACGTGTTGACCGAAGAACCCATTTCGTCCAAACAACCTATACCTATACCTATCATTCCGTCATTCGAATATCCAAACAAACCTGATTTTACAAACATTTTCAAGAATCAACCTCATCCTGATTTTCTTCCCACCAACAACAATCATTCACAAGTTATCAACTTTGATAATTATATAACTTTGATCAATAATCATCATATCAATTCCAACGTTTATCCTACTCGTACTCGTACTCGTGCTCCTGCTCCCCCTCCCCCACCCCCACCCCCACCTCCAACTAATCGTGCCGAACCTCACACCACCCCTAAAGAACCCGCGCGACCCATGGGATTAGCAGATCGTATAGGGGCCGAGTTGAAAGCTAAAAGGGAAGAGATCCAAGCGAAGAGTAAATTGGCAGGTGAGAAAGCGGAGAAAGAAAGGAGAGACGAGGAATTGGTTCAAGAGGTCGCTTCGAGGAAAGCAAAATATGCTGTGGGTTTGGAAGAAGAGAGGAAGAATAGGGTAAAGGTGAAGGGGTGATGAGAAAAGAAAAGAAAACTTGCAAATTGCTAGTATTAATGATTGTTAAATCGTCTAATCATAGTCTAATCGTTGTGTATAGCATGCAGCATCAAGTCGTAAACATATTCGGATTAAACAAATTAGGCGCGCGAGAAAGGTGACGATCGTGACCAACGAACGATCGAAAACTATCCAAAGGTTTGTGGTTTGTCAAATCTTGCTTGATCAGACATCCATCAAAACATAAGTAGTTATATGGCTTTACCCGCTGCCGCTGCTTCACAAGTCGGATCTTACGCAAGTACCGTCCGCAGGGAGCTAACCGGTCCTATCGCAAGGCTTGGTTTACCGTCCGCGTTGACAGATGGTGGGCAGGAACAAGTGGGTGGTCATGATCGGATCGAGAGTGACAAACATTCTCATAGTGGGCGGTCAGAAGGGTGAATCGTATCATCTGTTACTTATCCCCCCCCCCACACAAAACACCCGACGGTTGATGCTGATACAAGTAGGCTATTCCTATCAGGATGCACTTTTATCATCATCGAATGTCTATTCAAACGTGGTGTAGGTATCAACATGATCAAAGTCGTCTTAGAGGTCAGATGGTTTCTTACTTTCTTACCCTCTTAGGATATCACTCTTTCTTCAACCTAGACAAATCTATGATGAATCGTCTCTTCCCCTTGACCCGAATGATGCTACCAAGTAACCCCTTGACCCGAATGATGCTACCAAGTAACCCCTTAACCCCAACGATGCTACCAAGTAACCCCTTGACCCCAACGATGCTACCAAGTAACCCCTTGACCCCAACGATGCTACCAAGTAACCCCTTAACCCCAACGATGCTACCAAGTAACCCCTTAACCCCAACGATGCCCCTAACCCCCTTGATCCACCGCTGACATTCAGAGTAAAGGAGCCAAAACCATCTGGGTAACATCTTCACCCGAAACCATCTGTTCAAGAGAATGTAAAATCCTTTCCGAATGGTCTTGTCGAGTGAAACAACAAGAAACAACCCAATCCCACGCTTCGACATCATCAACTTCACCCTCACCGACACATCCGTTGTTCATAATCCCCAACGCTGAGACAGTCCGGATCCAAAAAGACGCCGGATCGAATGAACAAGGTCGAGATTTGGCAGATTGTCTAGTCCGAGGATGGGGTTATCCGATGAGTGAGAAAATCTTCCTTTTCTTTCCACCTCGTTGGGAACGAGTCTCCTCTTGTTCTTCTGTCTCGATGACCTGTAATTTTCGTATTCGCTTTCATGGTCATCTATCTATTCTTTGTCTCGATTTCTCACGTTTTCGTCTTTCTTTTTTTGGTGGGATACAATCTTCATGTCGTTATATCTCTTTTCTCTGTGGGCTCTGGGCTCTACATCTCCAAGTTGGCTCGTGTCTCTCCGTTTCTTGCTACGATCACCGTTTTCCCCAATGGCTTTTTTGTCCCTCCATTCATTTCCATATCCTTCTTTTCCATCTGAACGTGAAAAAAACAAGGAAAAAAAAACCTTTTCTTTCCCCCCTACCCCTTTTTCCATCACTCGGTCAAAATTCTCAATCCTCAATCCCACACATCTGAATACAATCTTGTTCCCTTTTTTCACGATGTCACTTTTGTCCATGATAACTCTCGGACTGGATTGACGAGAACATCCTACCGTTTTTCCGCCTTGACGACTTGAACTTGGGGTGCTTATCATATCTTATATCTCCCACCGTTTAACTAACTTTTCCTTGACATGAAGTCTTTGCGTTTTCTTTCTCTCAGTGTTTCCCACCGACACCGACTTTGCCCGGATTGAACTAACCAAACAGTCGCCTATCCAGCCCTGTCAACTCACGCTTACCAAGTCAAACTCGAAGCTGTGCAAGAATGCATCGCTCAACAATCCGCGAAACCTTTACTTAGGGAACCTTACGAATCGGATGTTGGGATCGATGAACCTGGTCAGTTTTTCTCTCCCTTCTCATCTTTCTCTTCTCTTTCACCAAAGACGTTTGTTGATTTACTGGAGGACAAGTAAAAAAAGAAAAAGAAAAACAACCCTGTTTAGTTTACTAAACCATGAAGAAGAGAGAAAACGTTTTTCTAGTAACCCTAAAGAAAGAAGGAAAAAGAAAAAAAAGAAAAAAGAGAACGACTTGATTCTTTTCTGACATACAGAACCAACCACTATGGCTAAAGAGAAACCCTTGACGGAAGCCAAATTAGCAAGGTTCAACGATATAGTTTCCAGTGGATTCAAATACTTTGGAGGGTTGAATCCCGGTCCTCGAGAGGATTTAAATGGTAGGAGTAATTCTGGTTTTTGGAAGTTTTATAACTCTGATCCGGTGAGTGAGTGGATCTTTGTTTTTGTTTGTCTCTCTCTCCTTTTCCCTACTAACCTTCCCCCTCTCGTTTATCTTGTTCTCCCTGAACCTCTTCATAAGCCATCTCCGTTACTCATCGTCCAAATTGTCATTTCCCAAATCTTCAGGCGGCCGACATGCACCAAACGACCCGATAACACACATCCCACACCTCTCACGTTTACTCTTCCCTCAACCCCACCCACACCCACACCCGCACCCGCACCCGCACCCACACCCACACCCAAACCCACATCGCTGAAACACTAGGATCGCGAGTTCGACGTCGTCGGCGTTGAATACTTCTTCCGGACTCACCGAAGCAAATTCGAACTATTGTGGAGTACTCTACCCTATTACGGCAAACACCTCAACAAAGGGGTCGGAAAAGGAAGAGTGAAAACTGTGAAAAGAGAATCCGTGATTGACTCTCCTCGAGAAGAATCAGTATCAGGAGGTTCAGAATCATCGAAATCTGTTTCAAGGGATACGAAAGAAATCACACCGAAACAATTCGAGATAGAAGAAGATGATTCAAAAACTATTCACGATCGTACTTCTCCCATGGATGAATCGAATTCAGATGCTACAACTTTGAATGATATGGTTATAAACGACGTACATCTATCTCATCCTACAACTTTGAACGATATGGAATCGTCTAGGGATCCTTCGATTTTAAACGATATGACGGAATTTCATGATGATATTTCCATTGAAAGGGATGGTGTTATGTTGCAACTTGAATCTCTATCTCAACGTCATGATTCCATTGAGTCTGACGTTACCGTTACAAAGTCAACTTGTACCCCAACGCGTAAACGTGAGAGATACTCTCCTTTAGATGATGAAGAACGAGAGAGAAAACGGAACACGAATACAAACACAAACACAAATCGACGTTCTCCTTTGTACGATGATAAACTAGAAAAAAATGGATCCACTTCTCGACTTGGTGTAACACAAGATGATGGACAAAAGAGAAAGAAGAACATATCTACACTTTCTCCTTCCGAAGGTTTCCCACCAGAGAGAAAAAACATCACATCCGATGTTATACATGAAGAATCGCAATCGCCTATGAAAACAAAAGAATCATCCTTTATCACTATCGATTCAAAAGTCGTTGATGGTTTCACACCTGATCCAGGGAAAGGGATAGAGAAACAAAGGGATAAAGACTCGATGACGGAAAATGATAAATATTCAGATTCAAATGTTAGTGCACAAGAGCGATCAGTGAGTGTTATTGTAGTATTTCTTCTTCTTCTTTTTGTTTCTTCCTTCTCAGTTTACATTTTGTTGTCCCAACCTTTCTTCATATTTTCATATTCTATAATCTACGTTTATCTATTCCGTTATCTTACATTCTCATCCCTCAGTCAATTTCCTTATCCAAAATTCCCTCTCTACAGTCCTTTTTCCTCTTGAATGATGATGTAAAATTCGTCGAAACCGGAGTTGTTCTTCTTTTTTTTTCTTTTTTTTTTTTTCATCCCCTCTCCTGCCTCAAATCTTCATCCCATATCATTTATCCCCTTCCCTGAGAAACGAACTTATTTTCCAAGTTTCGTACGTACCCTGACTGACCATACAGCTCCTCATCAAATCATGGTTAATCGACAAACAAGCTTGGCGTAGAATCATCCAAATTAAAATCGGTTCCATCCAATCTCCTCTTGCTCGATCTCTCATTACTGCTTATCCTCATTTTATCACTCTGAAGAATCCTCGACGTTCCAATTCGTCCTCCTCTCCTGTTCATCGAACGATCATCAACGCTTGGTTGGTTTGGTTGATGCATGGTCATTTACCTTTGAAATCCAACGATTCCACGGATGCAAAAAAACCGACTCTGTGTACGTTGACACCTTTTTTCGTTAGTAAATTCGACACTATCTCCCTGGATAAAGATCCAAGGTTGGCTTTAGAGTTGGTTTCCAAGGATATGTCAATTACGGTTAGTCGGTTTTCTTTCTTTCTTTCTTTCTTTCTTTCTTTCTTTCTTTCTTTCTTTCTTTCTTTCTTTCTTTCTTTCTCCTACCTTGTTCCTCTTCCTCTTCCTCTTGTTCTTGTTCTTGTTCTTATCCTTATCATTGTTCCTTGTTCTTATCCTTCTCATTGTTCCTTGTTCTCGTCCGACTATCCTCTGGCCTCCGTTTCAGGTTTCTCGTTCACATTTCCATTCCGTCAATCACTATGTTTATATTTCCGTTCTCCGTTCTCCCGATCCTTGATTTTTAGACTATGAATCGGGCACAAGATGAAAAAAGAGACTCTTGACTTGATCATGTTTCATTCTCAGCTCTAAGGTCGATTCAAAATTAGTGCAACATTCTTGCTTTGGAGAAAGAATTTTTTTTAATCAGGACGCATAGATGAGAATTCTGGGTTGCCTATACTCGGTTTCTAACGAGATGGGTGAATGTTTCTTTCGAATCTCGTGAAGAAAGAACCCAATGCTGATTCTTTTCCAGCTCCCATCGGTTGACGTAGATCGGACGATAGTGGCTTCTGGTCCTTATGATGGAGGGTTCTATTCTATCGGTTGTATAGATGGGCAGAAGCGTAGGATTTGTATTTGGGACAAGGTCAAATCCGAGGATTCTAAACGGTTCACACAAGTGAGGTTTTGTTTTGTTTTTGAATTTCTCCTTCTATCACACTTTCAGTATGACGGGTCGGAGGTGATGGTGAGAAGAGATAGGAGGTGTTTGGAAGTAGTCATGGGGACACAGAGAGAGAGAGAACGCCCGTGAGACCGAGTGATCGCCGAGTCGGGAAACGAGAAGGGCACCATGACGAGAAGAGGAAGGGATCGAGGAGGGAGGGAGTTCAACGGTTCGTAAAGAGAGGAGAGAAAGACATTTTGTGTGTGTGTGTGTGTGTGTGTGCGTTCTGTGGAGAAGAGGACGAACGAGTGTCATCAGACGAGGGAAAGATAAATAGGGTAATCTGGAATGACGAAAAAGGACGTTGCTGATATAATCTTCAGACCATGTTAAGGTTGTGTCAAGCTATTCATCCTTCCCATTCGGACTCGACAAGTCAAGGTGATTGGAATGTATTAGTGAGTGAATCATCAAAACCGGTCATACGTATGAAAGCTGATGACTTTTTTCTTTTCTTTTCTTTTTCGTCTTGTCCATCCATATATATCCCTTATTGTCCATCCTCGCTCTGTGCTGTGTGTCGCCTTTTTTTTTTTCTTTTTTTCCTTCTCCTCGTCCTTTGTCTCCTTGTCCTTCTTGTCCCACTCGTTCTCATCCATCACATCTCCAGGAAATCCCGGACGAGTTTCATACGTCGATCCCCGGCGAAAAAGCCTCATCCTCATCGTCCAATCCCTACCATATCTCCGCCCAAGCAGGTGCATTAGAAGCGTGCAAAGTTGGAAAATCAATGGCAATGGAAGGATTGACGGATCGAGTCATCAACTTGCTCAACGACAACGTTCATGTTGATCAAACAAAGCAAGACGTAGGGTATAAAGTGGATGATTTGATTTGGGATATGTTGGAAATTTCAAATTCAACTTGAGATTTTTTATTTTGTTCCTTGCCTGCTTTTGAGCCAAAAAAAGAGAAACTAAACAACGGAAATGCGAAATGCGAAATACGTATTGCGTGAGTCATGCTTCAAAACTAGATTCATCTTCCTTGCCACGCTCACATACATAGGTTTCAGGATTCGAAAATGACGTTTTCGGTGTTTTCACGTTTGAGAAATCTGATATGATATGATCCGAAGGAACGAGAGGGTTTCCACCTTTATCATACAGTATGTACAGTATCGTTTGTCATCATTTGGGGAATGAATGCAATTCTTGACACTTGCTGATAAAATCGGGATTTACCCATGAAGCAAGAGAGAAGCAGGTTTGATGATGCAAACATTTCGTCCATTTGTTTCGATATCAAGAATTGGATTTGTTCTGTTCTGTTCTGTTCTGTTCTGTTCTGTTCTGTTGTCTTTCGGTCCATCCTACTTGATCTCAATCATGTCCTCACTAGTCGGGTCAAGAGTTGCGCAAGGAAGAAAACCAAAACGGAAAAAAAAAATAATCGGACTATGGACTAAGAGATTTCGTTTGAAGTACCAAGTTAAACCGAGATTGGTCGACCGTCGGTCACTGAGATAGAAGATAGACGAGAGTCGTGACATATCTCGACTCGTTCGGTACCTGTTTCAATTGTCCTTTACTCTCCTTCGTCGGAACCTACGCCTACGGTCGATTCTTCAACTTTGAATCATTCGTCTACGTCTACGGAAGAGGAATTTACAATCAATGTTCTACATTGGGCTGATTGCCAACTCACGGCTCTACTCGACGATTGTTCGGATCTCAAGTATCATAGTCAACTTGCGCTTGTGATCCAATCCATAAGATCGAACACGTTCATCTTGCTCTTTCACAAGATCAGGGAATTCATATTGATGCTCCTCCTCGCGGTTTTACGGACTCTCGTTTGTACGATCCTTCTTCTTCTCACTGATCAATTCGATTCTCACTGATCAATTTCGATCTTCGGTCTTATTCAAAGTGTACGACGAATACAAATACAATGATGGTAAAGAATCACATCAAAGACTACGGAATAAAATCATATGACCAATCCGTAATCCTAGTTACGTGGCATTACTAATCAACACTCCCCCTAATGACACTAACTCCAGCAAACTAAATCCAACCAAGAGACTAAGGTGACCGTATCGTAGACCCGGACGTACGGGAGGAAAAGGCATGGATCACGAGCAAACCAGGAAATCTCGTGTGCGCGGTACAAAGTGTTCGGTACAACGCTCTATGCGTCGTACGATTCGAGGGATGTCGAATCGTGGATCGAATCGTGTAGATTGTGATCTGAATCGACAAGGTGAGTGTGGGAGGTGAGGTGTCACAGCCGTCGTACACTTCTCTCTATAGACCGATGGTTGACAAACCTCGGCTAACTTGTCTCTTCGGTGGCAAGGTCTCACCCAAACAGGAGGGCACAGACGTCGAAAGGAATGTAACTACGGCGAACTTCGGGGTAGTTACTCTATCTGGGGGTTTTCTCTAATGGCCATGTATCTCGATGTAGGTGTAGTAGCTATCTCTATCAATCTTTCACTACTGACAACAATCAAGGATCACTGAAGAACTTCAGCAATCTTCTCAGCTAATAGTATCTACCACTCCTAGATGTTCATCCAACCCATCCGCGCTTCGACGCACTTCGGCCAACTTCCCCGAACCACCGAGCACCCGTTTCTCTAACCTCGCCTAACTTCACCGTACCTCTGCTCTCTCTATCCCTGCTCAACCTAACTTCGCCTAACCTCGCCATAGTCGGTCTCAGATGTCCTAGGGTATGTGTAAACCGAAGAGGTTGAGAAATGATGGAGGTCTGATGGTCAAAGGAGGGTCGTTGTTGGAAGAATTTAGGGCTGTCACGACATAGTTCGTGACATGAGGAGAGATACAGAGTGTGATGTCAAAGCGTGTACAAGTCGAATTTGTAGACAGTTCTTTCCGTGCGTATCGCGCGGTAGGATCTTTGTAAGGAAATCCACGTCCTGCAATTCGGACTGTACGTATTTGAGTTTCAATTCACCACTGTGTATCTTCTCACGGATGTAATGATGTCGTACGTCTATATGCTTTGATCGAGCATGCGTACCAGGATTGTGTGCGAGTCATATCGCACTTTGGTTATCAGAATTAAGTTGTGTTGTGACTTGCTTGAAACCGAGTTCAGTCAATAGACATCGTATCCATACGGCTTCACAAGCAGCCTCTGCGGTTGCGATATACTCCGCATCCATCGTAGACTGCGCAATTGTAGCCTGTCTTCGACACTGCCATTGGATAGAACTATTGCAGAACTGGAATAGGTAGCCAGTCGTAGACTTTCGTGTTTCTGTACAACCAGCAAAATCCACATCAACCCATCCTTCGAGTTGATACGGTTCTCCCCCAAGCTTGAGAACGTAGTCCTTCGTATGTACGAGATACGACATTACTCGCTTCGCAAGTGCAAGATGCGTTTTGGTTTGGCTTGGCTGAGAATCAAGCAAGAATATCGTGTCGCAAAGCATACATCAGGTCGTGTTGAACTTGCGATCCACATCAATGATCCAATGATCTTGAGATATGGAGTTGTAGCTTTGAGCGTGTCACGAGACCAACTAACCAGCATTGGGACGATATAACAGTGCCCTTCAGAGACAGCGGTCTAAACCACTGCGCTAAAAGGCCTATTAACCGGCGGTTACTGCAAACCGCCGATCGCTGGTTAAATACCCGTCCCAAACACATCTCTAACCAAACTAACTTGTCACTTCGTGACAGAGCGGTGTCGAAGTGGTGTAGAGATCCTCTACATGTTGTGGGAGGGGAGTACCGTAGGCTCGAACCGCCACCGAGTTCTCCACAGCTGCACGTTTGATGTAAGCTGGTTGTGATAGGTGAATCATACGGTTTGTACGATCTTGAACTACCTTGAGCCCTAGTATCTGTTTCATCTCCCCCATTTCTGTCATTGTCCACTTTGACTTGAGGAATCACATGAGTTGTATGATCACGCCGTGAGTTCGAGCTGCGATTACAAGGTCGTCCACATATGCAAGTACAATGATAGGACCATCTGAACCTTTAGATAGCTTGTAGTACATTCCCCAATCTGATTCGAGTTGTAGGAATCCGTATGTTGCGAGCGCATTACCGAGTTCGATCCACCAAACTTGTGCAGACTGCTTGAGACCGTAGAGTGACTTGTACAATCGTAATGTAATACAACCAGGAGCTCGAGCCATACCTTCTGGGTATCTCATATAGATCTCATCTTCAAGTACACCATTAAGATATGCTCCTTCGACATCTGCTTGATGTGTTACGAGATTGTACGATGCAGCGATCATAAGTACGAGTCGTAGGCTGACCATACGACTTACGGGTGCGCATGTTTCTTCGTAATCGATACCAGGTTGTTGCCAAAATCCCTTCGCTACGAGTCGAGCTTTGTACTTGAGTAACTTGCCCTCTGCATCCTTCTTGATTGCGAAGACCCATCTTGAATCAATAGCTTTACAACCTTGCGGAAGTGTAGTCTCCTTCCATGTATTCTTCGACTTGATATTGTCAAGTTTGCGAGTCATTGCGATCTTCCACTCTATACTCTGCGGACTACGAAGAGCCTCCCCCGCAGTCTGTGGTACGACATCACTTCCTTCTATTGCAAGTATCATTGCGACTTCACTAGCAAGACCATAGTGTGAAGCTTGAACAGGGAACCAGGTTACTGCAGAGAGTGTACCTTGCACGTTCATACGATCTCTAATTCGTTTGCTCGTACGAGTGGGTTGCGGTACGACATGTGCAATTGGTGCAGGCTGTTGAACCATAGGAGCACCTGTAGGTTCTGGAGCAGGTGTTTCTTCTGCAGTTGTAGCAAAAGGTTCCACAGGGATTGTATCTGAAGGAGTCTCTACGACTGGAGTAGCTTCGTGCACGGATTCATGTACGGACACAGGTGAATCAGGTGGTACGAGTGTCGTAGGTGCAGGCGCAGGAAGTGGACCAGGAAGGGGATCAGGAAGTGTTGTAGGAGTGACTGTAGGTGTAGTCGTATTTGGTACAACCGGTGCGGGAGTACGATCTTGTACTGTATTGGAAGGTCGAATGTATTCCTGTGCGCTTTGCACATCGCGACTGACCACGATTGAACCATTCGATTTGTATCGTACAATCCAACCACTCATACCTTCCTCTTGACCAAGAACCCTTGCGAATTCTCCTTTGTGGAAGTCAAGCTGTGACTTGCCACGGACGTCGACCGGTATCTGTATGTATACAAGTTCACCAAACATGAAAGCTCTCTCTAGGCCTGGCTTGCGACCTGTGAGTGCAAACCACGCATTCGTACCGTTCGCACTTGTACTTGTCTTCATCATCATTACAGATGCGTATCGTACGACGTAATCCCAATACGAATGATCAAGGGAAGCCAAAGATAGCATCGAACTAGCCATCTCTTTGAGTGTACGATTGAAGCGTTCGGCTACACCATTGAGTTTGGGTGTGTAGTGTGGAGAGATCTGGTGTATGATACTTTTCTCTGCATACCATTGTTGCGCTTGCGATCCTGCGTATTCTGTACCTCCATCCGTACGAAGGAATTGTACGGTTCCACCGAGTTGTCCTTCGATCTTTGCGACAAATTCCTTGAGGTAGAATACAACGTGCTGTCGGTTCGGTGCGGTCACTACTCGATTGACCTTTGAGTAGTCATCGTACATCGTAATGATGTATGTCGCACCTTGCGCCAAAGGTCGTAGGGGTCCAGAGATATCTGAATGTACAATTTCACAATTACGAGTTCCGTGCGGACTGACATCCTTCTTTGGAAGTCGAGTATTCTTCTGTTCTTGACAGACTGCGCAGCTATCTGTACGCCACAAGTCTGCCTTCAACTCATCCGCAGTGTATCGTAGCTCCCCCGCTTGTGCGAGCGCGATAATACGGTTACGACCTATATGACCAAGTCGATTGTGTTCAGTTTGTAGTGGTCCAATACAAGTTGTCGAACTGATCGTACCCGTAGTCTTGGGTATGAGCTCCCCCAGTTGTACATATGGGAGGACACCGTGTTCTGGTATCGTAACAATCTCCTTTTGTCACAAACTACGTCGTGACGCCCCTAAGTCCCACCAACAACGATCCTCCTTTGACCATCAAACCACCATCATCCCTCGATCTTTTCGGTTTACAAGGATCCTAAGACATCTGAGACCAGCCACGGAGAAGTTAGGCGAAGTCTTCAGACTATGTATCAAATGAGGATCTGCGGGCAATGTGGGGGTTGGATAGACGAGAAAAGAATCGGTCAATTGTTGGGGAGAGAGGGTATATTGGACTCAAAGCAGAGTATATACGAAGAGAGCGTTTACTGGAGCAGACGATCAAATACGAGCCTACAGGTTTCATGCTCCTTCCATGATGAATTCAACTACTGTTCCCTCTCTCTACAACCTCTATACATCGCCAGATCCAGCCGCACTAGCAGGAAGCCCAAGGGCCAACGCTGCTTCACGTTTACATTCAAACCAGCTCTGAGTTGGGTTGACTTCTTGGATCATCTTTGCGGAAGCAAACATCGCCTGTATTGAATGTGTGCGGAGCTCATCCTGTTTAAGCTTGTTCTTTTCGGTCATCTTCTCAAGCTTTGCTTGTCGGTATTCCTCATCCCGCTTGAAAATCTCTACTTTGAATTGATCCTCAATGACAGCATGGGTTCCCTTGCGTTTTTCTGGTTCACAGGTAAGCTATGCCTACCACAAAGCAGAAACTCACTCTGGCTTCGATCTGAGATACTGTGCCCTTCAATGACCGTATGAGATGTTTTGACAGTAGTCTGAGGAGTTGCTCCGGTTGATGTTCCGCTAGATCCTAAGAAAGTACTTGATCTTGTCTCTTCTCCATTATCTTCCGAGTCTAGCATCTCGATTGCATCATTGAGAGTGCTTGGACTGTCTTGGGGGAATGTAGACCACGAGTCCGAGCCGGAAAGGGAACTCCTAAGAGTCTCCAGGATTGGGTTGAAGGCAGATGTGGTATCAGCACGCAATGCCGCGTTGCCTGCATCTCGATCTCGAAAGATTGGATTCAAAGTATCCCATAGAGGGCAGATAGCATGAACTCGTCCTGTGAGGTTAGATATCTCAAACCGGAGGATGAGAAAGGAGGACAGACGTTCGACTGCAGTGATTGCTTTATTCACTGCATCCTCAAGCCCAGTATTTTCAGCGTTCCTCAACATCTCTCCTCCGGACCCATTCCCTGTCTCGTTCTTGAAGGAATATGCATCTCTCCACTCATTGTACAACACTCGGATCTGAGGAATCAGTCGTGATCTCATAATTGGCATACAAGACAGGGGGGGGGGGGAATTATGATAAGACTCACTTTGTTCTCACAAGATACAGGGTCACGAAGTGTAGGACATCCCTCATTCTTCAACCACTCTGAACACTCACGCATGACGTCTTTAGGTTTCTTCCCTTGATATCCATTCCGCCAGCGGTCTACATTGTGGGGCCGTTCTAACCAAGCAATGAGATAATCCAGAGAGCAAAGTCCGTTTGGATCCTTGTCATCATCCCACTTCACCGGAGGGGATTTAGCCTTTTTACTACTCTTTCCTTTCTCCTTGGCTGAGATTGGACTTGAAACAGCAGGTGTAGCGGGCTGGAGACCAGGTCGGACAATCCGGATGGAAAGTCCAGATGATGGTCGAGAGATTGGGGTAACGGGCACTTGCTGAGGAGGAAGTGGTGAGTCCCCAGTCATGATATTGGTATCTCCGTGCGTCTGTAGATCAGCAGAGTATGTTCCGGTCACTCACATGTACCGTTTGCTCCGGTAGCAAGCGTATGGAAAACACCAGATGACTTAAATCTGTCTTAAGAACACAAGATGATGTTTGTGTCAAAGTTGCCGCATGTGGTAATGCATCCGGAAACCTAAAATGCGAAAACTAAGAATTGACACCCACTATTATACGGTCAGCTTCTTATTATATACATATATATCGTTTAGTTGGATTTCCCTGGTTTGCCAACTTGACATCTTTAATTGCACACTGTCCAGGGTATTGATGTGTGTCCGACTTTGTTTCTTTCTCGACTTACCATGTCCTTCGGTTTCCTTCGAGTTTTCGATTCTCTTTGTCTTTTCTTTCAGTAATCACTATCACCCTCTACACTGATTCCATTATCGTCTTATCCGTCTGTTCGCGATCTCTCGTTATCACTGTTTCACATTCCGTACGACATCGCGATCTTGATCACTGTTAACATTCCGTATGACTTTCCTCTCTCTCTCTCTCTCAGTTGCTGGAATTGGATTCTTCCTTCTGCTACTTATCTCTGCCGGAATATGGCGTTAGGGGGAGTGTTGGAATAACGCAACATACGGTGTTATACGGAAACCTCTAACATACACACACATTTCTCGTTTGAGGACCTTTGAACCCCTCTGTCTCTCGCTTCACGCTTCACGCAGAACCCCCTCATCTCTTGCTTCTTCCCTGCTGGCGTCGCCGTGGTTTATCCCTCCCTAGTTGTCTCGACATTTTCTTTTATTACAATAGATACAATAGATAGACTTGTTGGTTATTTTCACGAGGGAAGCAAGACAGGAGGACATGATCCAAGTTCAAAATCCATGTATCCTACCTAAACAAAGGGAAATGGCCGTGTGGCGAAACAAAAAACAAGGGAGGGGGTTGTTTGTTGTTTGTAATTATCACTCGAGTCGAGTTGAACATGTGATATGCATACGTTGAGCAGTGCTACGAATATCCTACTCTTAATCATAGGTTAGCAAGGGGAATAAATGGTGCATGACGAATTAATGTTAGGTTGATGAAATGAATTAGACATGTCCTCTTTATACTGCTGGGAATCGTTCGAGTGAAATGGAGATCAAACGTAAAGGGAAAAATAAAGTGAAAATGAGTTTGGAATTCCGTTCGTAACCCCGTCCCATCCACCGACACCTCACAAACCCACACCACGAAAAGGCCCATAAACCCTTGAAGCTTCCAACATGGCCGAAGAAAACTTTTCACCGGTAGACCATTTCTTTGCTTTTTTAACCAATTTTCCAAGTTTTATCATATCTATCGTCTCTTCTTCTTCCTCCTCTTCTTCTTCTTCTTCCTCTTCGGGTTCTTGTTGCTCTTGCTCTTGGTCTTCTTGTAAAGGAATTACTTGAGCTGTTGCTTCAGCTCTAGCCAATTCGGAAGACTCGTACCGAAACTAAAAACTTACCATCATGACGATTCGAACGAGCTATTTGAAGCTTATACTTCCAAGTGGGTAATACGTATTCTAAAGGTGCCGAGATTATCTTACCACTTGAATTTTCCCATTTGGGACCTTTGGAACGGTGTTTACAGATGACTGGGTAGGTCAGTATAGGGGGTCGTTTCTTTTTGTTTCGTTTGGATGTTGTTTGTGGTGGGTAAGGTAGGGATGCGTCGAGGTGGTATGGCTTAGATATGATGGTGGACATGGTCAGAATGGTGAGATGGGAGATGGGAGATGGTGCAAGGCGGGGAGGATATGAAATGCGAAATACGTCACGAGGATGTAAACAGAAAGGGAATGATCGAGAACAAGTGAAAGGTGGAAAGATGTATGCGATAGAAGAATGGATATGCAGTGCAGTGCAGTGCCGTCATGGTAAAGGCATTGAATGAAATGACCAGCGGGTCGGATTGGAATTTTTATCATGGCGGGATGAGAAGAGAAAAAGATGATTTGACTTTTACAAGGCGGGGTTTGAACCGAAATGAATCGGGCGAGCAGGTAAGAGAGAGAAAGGAAAGGAGAGGAAAAGAAAAAAGAAAAAAGATAAGAACGACTGAGGGGAACGATCGTACAAAGTAGACCAAAAGGGACGATGAATAGTTGGGTAAAAGAAAAAAAGAAAGACAGTGGAGGAAAGAAGAAACAACTTACCAGCCAACTTATCACGGGTCGATTTGGCAAGTCTGATCAACCTCTTGGAACATTCAAGTGGGACATGAACATCATGTTTTGAACGATTTTTCGTTTTTTTCGGTAACGTCTTTAAGATGGATCGGGAGAACCGAACGAATTTCATATACTAAATTTTGTCAGTTCCGCTTTGACTTGTCGTGGTTCTGGATGTTATGGGCTCTGGGACTGGGTCTGGGATATCATGGCGTCTCGGACTTGGTCTGGACGCTCCGGTTTGAGATGGGTTCAGGGGGGGGGGGGGGGGAGGGGGAGAGGGTCATCTTTACAGGAAATATTCGTTGGAGGCGGGGTGAAAGGATTATCCGTGGACAAGGAGGACAAAGAGTCGATGATGATTCGAATCAACGAGGGAAAGTCAAAGGTCTTGCAACTGATCAAACGAACGACCCAATGACCAATCGGAGCGGATGCTGACAAGAGGGAGGGGGATTGGATGCTGACAAGAGGGAGGAGGGGAACCGTAAGGGTTTCAAAGCCAGTGGACAATGTGTGTGAAAGCAAGAAAACACAACCCACCTGTTGTATCTGTAACCCTATCCTCAGCCTTGACACAGCTTTGGAACGAGCTGCGGTGATAGTTGTCTGCCCATTCAAGTCCAAGATCGAGTATGGGTCGAGAGATTCACGTCGCTTCTTGATGGGACGTTGAGGTGAAGGTGGACTGATGTCGTCGTCGTCGTCGTCGGGGTCGAGCTGGTGACCGTCGAGGGTTGAGTGTACATCGGGTGCAAAGATGTTGTGGAGAGGGGTCGTGGTGGGTGAAGGGGGAGGGGAAGAATAGGATAAAGTGGGCGCAGGCAACCTAGCGGTGACATCTTGCGTCATGTTACTTTGTCGACGTACGACGTCTTGTCAACGTCGTCTTTGTCAACACTTTTGAGTGGGGGGGGGTCCCTCGCTTAACTCTTGTGGCCCGAGCGCGTCCTAGCGTCCTAGCTTACCTCGCTTAACTTTTTTTGGGGGGACTCGCTCAACTAACTTTTGGGGGGACTCGCTTAACTAACTTTTGGTGGGGAAGGTGAGTCAACCTCTTGTCTGCGAAACAAGTTGACATTATCAAACAAAGACGCAAAGATGCAAGAGGAAGAATGTGGGTGGTGTTACCTGTATTACGTACACAGTCGCTCACTGAAGACAGTGCTACAAACATTACATGACAGGTTGATAAACAAGAATCATTGTACATGGTGCGGGACTTCTCTGGTGAGTATGAGTATCCCCCCTACATTGACAATAGCTGACACCCCCCCCTCCCCTCCAGATAGTGGTCAACCCTTGTGCTGTACCCAACTACAACCCTTCATCTCTTTCCCCCGCTCATGCTCATTCTCATGACGATGCAAGAGTAGAGTCTGTCGCTAAGCGAGCCTTGGACGCCATCCTCCTACGTTATCAACAACAAGGTTTAGGTCTTGATCAGAATGCACAGTTTGTCGTCGTCGGCGGTGATACGTAAGTTGCCATCGTTCCCTCTGGCCTCGTCCCCCTCGCTCACGTCCAGCGGGTCGGGTAAAACAATCACCACTCAACGTATCATCGAATACGTCGCTTCCTCGGCCCGACTATGCCCTCCCCCAACCACCGCACCCACCTTGATCACTCCCCAGATCGATCTCTCTCGGAAGCTACTCGTGGTAGACAACGTCCTATCCTGCTTTGGCAACGCCAGCACAAGGGGCAACGATAATTCCAGCAGGTTTGGGAAATGTATCAGTGTGAGTAGCCGATTTCTTTCAACCTCTAAACGGTCACATCCACTAACGGTCGAGATCATTTGGACAAATCATTATCCATCGTCAAAGTAACATCTTCCACTCATTTATTGGAAACTTGTAGAGCAAGTATCTCCATCTCCATCCCCTCCTCCTCTCCCTCCACACCCATTGTCAACCCGTTCCACATTACCTACCTCTTATCTCAATCCATCACTTTACACCCCACACGTCCGTGGTCAAAAGCTTTATCATCCACTCTCCTGTCCTCTCAAACACAACCCCCCACCTCCACCCTGCTCGATACTTTGATATCAGACATGATGACCCTCGGTATGTCATCTGATCTGATACATGACTTGTTCGGACGCGTGGTCGCTTGCACATTGTTGGGTTCATGGTCATGTTTGTCCAAACCAATGTCTTTACCTGACTTGGCTTTGGTTTCCACCGTTTCCGCTCTGTTGAGGATCGAAATGTTACCCTTACATGAAACCTTGTGTTACAAGCTTCCGGGCGGTTCGGTGGCCTCTGGGGGTAAGGAGAAAATCTTGAGGAGTCCCGAAGATGCAGAGAGGTTATGTAAGGCAGTGGCTGGACATGTTTATCAGCATGTTTTTCAGGTGAGTTTGTTTTTCTTTCTTTCCCCAAAGCAAGCGTCATTATATGTTACCGTGGGGGGTAACAAAGGTCGTCGTTGGTTTGGTATTCGAGTTGTGACCATTCTTTCCATCGTTACCAGTTCGTCATTTATCAATCATCATTGTAGAGTGGAAAATGATCAATTTATGGAACACGACCAAGAGATGAACTTTTCATCCACTAGCCATATCCCCCCTTGTCACAGCTACCCACTTTCCCCTCCCAAATATTCATCGTAACCCTCGCATCGACGCATCCTCGCATCGTCACGTCGTCACATCCTCGCATCCTCGCATACCCTCTATTCCTCTACCCTCATCCCCCACACACCCAAAACCTGACCCCAACAATCTAACCCGACCGCTGAACCAAACTAAGTCCAGACCCTAACAAGATACATAAACCAAGCTCTCATCGGACCTACCGACCGCACCGCTGAAGAAATAGGTCTGATCAGCATTGTTGACATGGTCAGTCACTTTACTTTTCGTTCCCTGCCGAATGATATTGATTGGTAGTTCGGGTTTGAGGTTGAAGACAAGGTGAGAGAATGTTTTTGTTTTTTTTTTCGTTCAAGTTCGATGAGTTTTTTCTTTCTTTCTTCCTCTCATGATTTTGTCGTCTGGTGATTCTGAGATTTTATGGTTTTACGTTAAGACTTTTTGCGATTTCGTTTGTTGAGTTTTTTTGTATTCCTACCTACCCACCCACCCACCCACCTCGCGGTTGCATATGCTCCATTTTTTTTTTTTGTCTTTTCACCAGACAAGAGCTATCAGCTACAAAACCCGTCTAGATTTCATCTTTACCCAAAATCCCTGACCAGAGTCATTTTTTTATTTTTTTCCACTTTTGTTTCTTGCCTGCCATGTTCCCTTGGC